AGTCCGGTTATTAACAGCTCCATTTTAACGTATTAATTAAAGATTAACGTTTCTGGCATAGGTGGGAAATTCAATAATCATTGCTAACGACCCGCGAGTAATTATAATTTACTCTGCCAAGAGGGTACAGTACAAACCTGGAAATTGTATATAATCAAAAATATTATACATTGTTTTTAAGCATTTCCAAAATCGTTATAATTTTGTTTTGCAAAAATACAATCATTTCGAAGAACAGGAATGAGTTTCCTTGGTCAAAATATATGGCTAAGTGAAGGAAATCAATGCTGAATTTGTATTGTATGGTATTTTGGACAAAAGAGATCAGATCTTCGGTTTATTTTCTTATCGATGCAAAGGCAACCATCATAGTAATCTTTCTAATTAGCTAGCAAAGACTGTATATATTTATAATAGCTGTTTTCCTTCTTATTTACAAAATTCTTTCTGAAATATATGTATGTATGTTTGTGGTATTTCTCCAGCTACTTCCTGCTTGCCCACTTCCTGCTGCTCCTGTGATCAATGGTCATTCAAAATGCTCGGCGTCCGCATCCGCAAAAATGCCGTGAAATCAATTTTGCAGCAAATTTTCAATATATAGCGAACAAGAGGGCGTGCGGCACTCAGCCAGCACATGGTACTACTATGCACTCGGCTTTCGGCACTTGTCCTTCCGCCAGAAACAGCCCATCCTTGATCCCCCCCATTCCCCACTGGTCGCTGCATAGACCTGGCATGTGGTCGTGGTCGCTTTTTAAAGGACCAAACTCGGACCGCACACGAAAACCCGAAAATGTAATTGAAAAATGATTTTGTTGCACACATGTCCCACATAGGCTCAGGACAGGATGCCCCTCCTCGCATCGGGATTGCATTTGCTGCTGCTGCTGCTGCTGCCGCTGGTGCCGGAGCTTGGCTTTTGTCCTGCGGCGGTGCTGTTCGGTAATTTCGTGGTCACGACGCAAAAATTTTAATTAATTCGTTAAGCGAACGGTCTCAACTTGGAAATGGTGCAGCGAAGCGACCCGGCCCGGCCCGGAGACGGAACCGGCCTGGTCCTCCACCTTGAGCCGCCCCGTAATTAGCATATAAATAACATTGCCCCTTCACCTGGAGATTGGAGGCTGGAAGGCAGGCAGGCAGGCAGGAAGGCTGGCAGGCGCAGGCATCCTTTCAAATATGTCGTGTTTGCTTATTGATTTAGCATTAATTGTTAATTGTTAATAACCGAGGAGCGACCGCAGCGGGGACCGCACAGTTTAACGCACCTGACAAACCACAACGCACTCGACACCATCAACATAGAGGGTTTCGGGGGACTCCCACAGCTCTCTCAGGAGGTGAGTTTCCTGCACACCTGGCGCCAAGTGAAAAGCTCCGAAAGGTGGTTATATAAATTACTAAAATCTTTCAATTTACTCGGTCTCTTGGTCTCATGAACTGGGAAACAGCTTCTAAATTGGCTATGACAAGTTAATAATCAGTGTTTACATATGCCACCAAGACAACAACGGATGACGATTCTAGGAAATATGGATTTTTACCTTCTGGTGTATTTGTGGTGTATTTCTGGTGTATATGTGGTGTATTTGTGGTGTAATTCTGGTGTTTGTAGCGTATTTTGTTTGAATTTTTGGTACTCTTCTTAAATAACTTATCGTAAGCCAAGAATTTGGCAAATAAAATATCTATATTACTTAAATATCATTTACTCGTACAGTTCTTTTACAGAAAACTATTAAAAAGTACCTTGTTTATAACAGTTTATACTATAGTGTTAATTCTATGACCGCAACTGTGAACAGAGGGATGCGATTATTGGCCATAGGGTTTGGTCTGGGGTTTATGTCCGCGCCGGCTTCATCGTCTGGGATCGTCTTCGCTCGCTGCCTAAACAAGAAACTCAATTAACTTGTTAATTTATTTCTAATTTTCTTTGTTCGTCCTTCGCAAGGGAAAACAACTCTGTGGAAACCAAGGCACTATGGGGTTTTTGACCAGTTTTTGTGGCATTAATTAATAACTCGATCAGTTTTGAAGATATCGACATGAAACTTTACCAATCATCATTATTTGTCCCTAGGCACATACAGTATGAAAATCGTTCGGATCAGGAATCTATATCCTATAGCTCCCATAGGAACGATCGGGTAAAAGTAAAGATAAATTAATGAAATTTAAGGAGCTTATATTTGTTGCTATTTTAAAACGATATAGCAATTTTGAACAAAATCGGACAACGCTTTCCCTAGGAACCAAAATAACCATAATACCGGAAATCAGTGTTTTTCCATACAAACAGCTACCAAATTGGCTCTGAAAACAGTGAGGTTATCTGAGAAAAATTCAAATTGCAACAAAAGTGCGGAAAAGTGCACGATAAGACTAACTGCTTTTTGCTCAGAATTGACAACGCTACAACATACACTTGGACGCATTGAAAACTAATGCGAACTTCTATTTCAAAACTCTTCCCAAAGTTTAAATTTGTTTCTCAAAATTCAGCTTAAGGTGCATTTATAAATTGACAAAATGTCAATATAAACACGCACAATTTAAACAATTAATACCTTTAACATGTAGTTAAAACCTGTGAAATCAGTGTCCATTAGTTTTTTCATTTGCAAATTGTGTCTTACACGAATAGTTTAATTTCAAAGATCACTTCGTAAAAATTACAAACTTAGCAGACGCGCTTTCGGATGCAACAGCTGACTTTACAGCTCTGTTGCTAACATATGCTGTTAAGTATTAACATTTTGAGTATGAGGCATAACAGTTCGATGTTTTGTTAATACAATCCCACTATTTTTTTTTTAATTTAAGAACTTTTAAAAAATGACTAAATGCCACATAAAGTGGTCAAAAACCCCATAGTGCAAGGTGATGGCTCAGATGAAGGGGAAATTGGTCGGCGCTAAGACATCTCAGATGTTGATGATTTCCCCTCGAATTGAGAGGGATATTGGTTAAATAAATATAAAATCGATCTATGAATATCTTTTAAGTATCAAAAAGTGTCAAAAAAAAAATCAGGTTTCAGATTGCAATATCTTTGTTTCTAGTTTATATAGAACTCTATAATTTTCTGCATTAAAAATATAAAATTTAGAATTTTAAATATTTATTAAATATATATTTCTGTGTGTGTTGTTTGCTTATATTAGTATATTATTACAGTTGCCAAAAGCTGAATATTTGTGGTTCAACCCAAAAAAGTATGCTATACCAATTGCAATAGTTTCCTTAACATTTTTCGTGCTCCTTTTTCCCCCATCTTTCGTTAATGCAACTCCAAGCTAATTGTGTTGATTCTACCATTATAATGGTAACATTTCGGTTTTGGAATCTGTACTAGCGTTTCCACCGGAACCGGAACCTCTTCGAGGAATCGCTTTGAGATTCCGCAATTGCCTTGTGGATTGGGAATTGCGGTTGGGTTAAAAATCGCTTTACCGTTGCTCACTTGCTTCTTTCTGGCAAAGTTGGGTGGTGTGGGAGAGGGGTTGGTGAAGTGCGGGCAAAGTTTTCGCTTTGTATAATTAAAACTAGGCAGGCACGGCGGCGGTGGCGAAGACAAACGGAATTGTTTACATGTGTCTTTGTTACAGTTACAGTTATCCATTGGTGGCCTGCGGATTGCGTGGGAGTGTGAGCGAGTGGGCAAGGAATATGTAGGCGTTACAGCCTACAATCTCCAGATGCTCGCTTTCAGCTGGAGGCGTGTTTTCTCTGTCTTGTCTAACTGTTTGACTGTGTGTGTGTGTGTGTGTGTGTCTCTCTCCTTCTATTTCTCGCACTTGCATATATGCAAGCCTTCCTTCCTGCCTGACTCACTCCTTCCGGCATCATCGTTATCATCATCGTCATCGGCATTGCTCTGAGTCGTTCGCCTCGTTCACGCCCACTTTATTTAGCATTTTGTTGTTTTTTCGGTTTCCTGCGGTTTTTAATTAAAATTAACTTTGTTTATTTTGCGCCTCCGCCTCCTTTCCCTGGTCTCTCTCCCACCTCTCTTGCTCTCTTTGGCCGCCTCAGACAAAGTGATGTTTACTTTGCCCGCGTCTTTCCTTCGCTGGCTCTCTTTTTCTCTCTCTCCACGGCTCTCTCGCTGTTGTTGTTGTGTTATTGTTGATGCTGTAGCTGCATGTAATTGCCGCCATTTGTGTTGTCGTCGCAGCCGCCACCCACTCCCACTCCCACTCTCTCTCGCTTTCTCTTCCTCCCATTCCGCCACTTGTTGTTGTTCTTAGTTTTACCTGTTGGCAGACAGACAAAAGCTTAACCAGCGGAAGAAGAGTTTTTGGAATCATCGTCGTCATCATCTCGCAGCTAGAGCAGCGCGCGCTTTGTCCCACTCCCCCTCCACCACCACGCGCCACTATGTTTCTCTGGGCTCGGCTAGTTTAACTTTTGTAAGTTTGTTAAAGTTTTGTTATGCCTGCTGGTATTTACCCCCAGCGCTGTCATTTTGATTAGTGCATTTTATTTGCATTCTGATGCAATTCACTTATTTGCAAAAATGATAGAACCCTCCTCCGGCAAACAGAGGGAGCGAGGGAGTATGGAGTGCGAAACGATCCCAGCAGAGATTGACCAGGATATGGACAAGCTATAACTGGAAGCCTGAGTTTAGTGCACGACTAGAAAATGAGCTTAAAACGTAATCAGAAATTAAAGAAAAAAGAAAGTAATGAAATGAAGGACAGCCAGAGACTGAAAACATACAAAGTGAATGTAAAAGGGACTCATTAACTAAATGAATTAGTTAGCAGAACTAAGAGGGGATTTGTAGGGGAAAGTAAAAGTCTGCGAAGGGAAATTGTAATAAAAAAAAAAGTTGGAATGTCTAAATGGAAGCTATCCTTAAAGCTTGAGATTGCTTTGATTTACCGTTATTTTTGTAGAAAAAATAAATGTTATTTATTAGTTATTAGTTTGCAAACAAAATTTTCTTTATTATTATTAATACAAATTGAACCTCTTGCATTTAGTTTCTAGGCCTGGCTCTCGTGATAGAAGCGATCCATGCTGATGATCTCGTCATTGGGCGCCATCAGGTGAATGTTCGGAGCAGTGGGCATTCCCTCCGCCCGTCGATTGTTGTGGCGATCTGACATCGGATCTAGGCCCACGTGGCGATGCTGGCTGGAACTGCCCTCGGTTTTCGAGTGCACCTGAAACGAGGTGCGCAGGTGCAGTGGCTGCTGCTGCTGCTGCTGCTCCGGGAATGTCGTCGGTGCCTCGGTATCCTGGGAACTTGACTGCTTGCTCTTGGCATATAGCTGCTCGAACAGATCGCGAAAGAGCGAGGGATTAACATTGATGCTGACGCACATGAGGACGAACCAGTCGCCGTAGCCGACGGTGGACAGCACCTCGCGCACATGGGACTTTGGCATGCCGCGCAGGTGGGTGCGCAGCAGCTGCAGGCGCAGCTCGGAGCAGCAGAATAAGAGGAGGCGGTAGCAGAGATTGATTCCCGCCAGCATGGCAATGAACAGGAACCACACGTACAGCAGGGCGAAGATTTTCTCGTTCAGGATATTTAGGGGAAGGACGCAAAGAATGTCCAGGATATTGGGCGTGCCGCTAGGCCCGTAAGTGAACATCTCACATTTGGCCACCTTGGGGAAGACGCGCGACGTCATCATATTCCACAGGTTCCAGTCGTAAACGGGTATGGCGGCCAGGGCGTGGATGTACTTGTGCCAGAACCCGTTAAATACCACGTCCATCAGCCAAAAATTCAGCAGCTGTCGGGTGAAATCGGGTTTAGATGTTTAATTTTTTCTGAAGATGGAATCAAACTCACGCTGATGATGAAGTTGAGCAGCTCGCAGAAGGCGTACTTCAAGGAGTAGCAGCAGTGGATGGGAGTGAACTGGGCCTGGAAGTACTTGGTTAGCATCTTGAGGCGTGTGCGGTAGGTGGTCTCCAGGATGAGGGCGTCGCCCACCTCGCAGCACAGCTGCTTCATGCGCTGCCCCTCCCACACCTTCCAGAGGTACGAGGGCGAGTAGAATAGGACCGACTGGAAGAGCAGGATCATAAAGACCCACTGGTAGTAGCGGAGATACAAGCGCTTTGTCACCCCGCGCGTTTCCGGTCCGACGCCCTCGGCAATGGACAGCAACCGGGCATAGTATTGGTTCTTGGCCATCAGTGCCCGCAGGCTGCTCATATTGTAGTCCCCGCCGGTATAGGAGGAAAAGTCCCAGCTACTGCCGCTGCCCAGGACCTCGCTCTCCGACGGCAAGATGTAGGTGCCCATGGTCCAGCAGTACGACTGCACGTATTCCGTTTGCTTCTCGGAGCTGATGCACAGAATCGGTTCCCCGAAGTACTGCTTCGCCGACAGCAGAATGGTGCAGGTCAGCAGGAGGACGACAGTGCACTTGGAGTGCAGTGTGAAGATCGGATCGTAGATGCGCACCGACTTCAAGCGCAAATACTTGGACAGCGGCTTCACAGCAGCGTACATGTCGCGGACTTTCGGAGGAGGGTCACGATTGGGTAAGGTTAAGGTATGTGTGGTCTCAGCAGGGTGTTCTGGATGGACACTAAGCGGCATCCAGTTCGTCGGGCAATCTATTCTGATATTTGGACACTACACACCTGGGCTTATCGGTTGCAGTTCTCGGGAACACGGAAAACGTTTGCTTTAACTCGGTTATTTTCAACTGTCTGCATTTATGTGTGACAGTTCCAGGGACCGTATATGTCAATATTTGAGATCACAGGAATTCTAGAGTTGCCGGTCAGAATTTGGGATTGTTAGCTAGTTCTTTGTGGGGTTATCGTTCTCTTTAATATACTTTCCTAACATTTTGAGAGCTTTCTGATAAATCCCGATCCCGAACACCAAAGGACCTCCAATCAATTAAGCATAACTTTTTCAATTTAGCTATGATTGTTGTAAAACTTGGACACAATATTCTTAAGATATTGGGAATTTAAAATAAAAAATTAAATACCTAACCCCCTTAAATACTAAGAGCAAAAGGTAGCTATTCCTTATTTTATTAAGTTTATAGTTAACATATCTATTTCAAATCACTGGAAATACAATAAAAAATACAACCACTTGCTTAAAAATAAACTCTCTCATTGAATGGAAACGTTAAAGCGAAGCTTTAGAGCTAAATTTAGCTGCGGGAAGAAATTTAATTGTTATGTAATATCCTTGACGAGGGATATGGCGTATAGGCCTAATTTTGGTGATTTTATTTTTTTTTTGTCAGAAAATGAGTGGCGGCGGCTGACTGATTTGTGAACCCATCAATCGAAAACACTATACATGCCCCGAAGCGATTATGGACAGCGTTTTCAATTCCAAGGCAACACCTCGATGGAGTCCGACCCCGTTTTCGCTTTCCCACTTTCCCATTTTCTACCCGTTATTTTCAAAAACTCGTATGTATGGGGATCACGAGCTGTGGGAACGCTTGCGAATGGCAATAATAATAAAATGATTAATCGATGCTACATGACTGCATATACAAATAATTCCCAGCGGTGTGTCGTCATCAGCGTCATTACCCACATCGTCGTCATCATCATAATCATCATCAGCATCATCATCAGGATGGGCGTGGAGGTGATGGGGCATGGGGCAACTATAGTACATCGTCATCAACATTATCATCCTCTCGGCTGCCCCGTGCAAATGTTTATTGTGGGAATTCGCGCTGGCTGTGCGACGTGTCGAGTGGCGGCGACTCTAGCATCAGTTGCTCCTGTCCAGGTCCCAGTACCCCCCGTCTCGGATCCTGAACCCCTCCTTCTCCTATGCGCCGCAGAAAAATTAAATTTATGAATTGTTTCGTTTGTGCGTGACCGGAGATTTACAATAATCAGAAATTGGGAATCAGAGAACACGCTCAGGAGACTAATTAGTCCATGGCCGTGGCGGCGGGTATACGGATGCCAAATTGTAATTATAATTTCTCGTGTCTGCCGACTGCCCCCTTTGCTGATTGTTTGGCAATAAAACGGGAACGAGTATGAAATATGAATCGAAGCGAAGCAAGCGGAAACGGAAGCGAATTTTGAAATTAAATAAAGAAGTCACAGTTTCCTCCTAGGAAACCATAAAAAAAACCTATGAAAAAGCTTAGATTTAAACATAAACAAGGTTGGATAACATTAAACCAAAGAAAACATAACATGAATTAAATTAATTTAATTTATTTTTAGATTTGTCTCTTTAGTTTTCTTAAAATGCCAGCCAGCTTGGGCTTTTGTTTACAAATTGTAAGAATAATGGTTTAATAGAAGCAAACAAAAAATATCTAAGAAAGTTGAAAGCAATTTTAAAGATAAACAAATAGTCTTGACCCTTACGGGCATTTTTAACACAATTGATAGCTTAAATTTATAAATATAAACAATATCCGAACATAAAAGATCTCCTTTGTCACCAATCAATCCCAGCCAGGTGCTGATCCCTTCGCCACATAGTCACCCCATTCATCTTGAACGACTCCACCCCCTCCCCGCCCCACGAGAGCCCATAAAAGTTCGCTGACAGCTTTTTAAATATTTATTTAAATGAAATTCATTATTTAAAGCGATTTTTCATTGACCACAAAAACCGAAAAACGTTTGCCGTACTGCTGGGAGTAGGAGCAGGAGGAGTAGGAGGGCCTGGGTTATGGGAATTGGTGTGGTGTCGGGTTGGGCTGGTCAGGATGAATGGCCAAAAAGGATGGATGGCAGGATCCGGGATCCCCCACTGAGCGTGTGTGCGCATTGTGTTGGGCTACGGGCTACGCATTTCGTGCTTAAATAAATAAATTGAACAATTATGCGTGGTTGCGGTTGTTTTGGCTTTGATGGAGCCCGGGCATAATCCTATTACCGGGGCCATTCGCCAGTTGCCACTCTCTTCCATTCGACAGTTGCCCCCCTCCCGATGACGACTCCCATTCCGCAGGTCCACCTCTCATTCATACTCGTCCTGCTGTTCCAGCTCCTGTGCATCCCGGTTGCCCAGTTGTGATGTAACTCCTGTAAGTGGTGACTGCTATATGGTCATCGGTGGATGCTGGCTGGTGGTTTACTTTTCCGCATAAATATGGCAAAGCAGCTGGCTTCCAGCTTTCGGTTCGTCCCAGGATCAGGCTCCTCGACGTTTGTTTGCTTCCGAATTTTGGCTATAATTTGTTTAAGTTGACTTGGATTTTGCTGAAATTTGAGTTCCCCAGTAATAACTTCCATAATTCTCGTTGTTTAAGGCAAATGCTTTTATTTATTTTTATAGATGTAATTTGTAATACAAAGAGTAATGCCCGATATCAGCCCTCCAGGTGAGCCCCGACATGGATCGTAGTTCAAGGCCTTCAGATATGAGTTCCACATCAATTGGTCCTTTATCTGACGCGCAGCCTCATCGTGGGACAGCTTGTAAGTGTCCATAAAGAGCAGCACTATCCAGAGGGGCAGCAGCCCATTGATAATCAGGGATGTGTGGTTGCTTTTGGTGCTGTAGCTTTCCGCCAGTTGCTTCATCATCTTGTCACGAATGTCCGCGTTCAGTATGTCCATGATGTCCATGTGACAAATATTCACATAGCTGTGTGTCTGTGCCTTGTTCGTCCGCTCCTCGAACAGCTTATCAAAGTCGCTGCTATAGCGCTCGAATGTGGCCAGAACATCAGCTTCGCTCATATTTTCCAAGAGCAGAATCTGAACTTCAGGCGGCTTGGATATGGCCAGCATGCTGTCCAACCGCTGCAGTGCATCTAGGCGGGCCCCATCATTCTGCTCCACCTCCAGGACTACGGCTGGTGTTGGTCTCAGAGACTTCTCGTTTGGTGCCTTGGCTAGCGAAGAAGTGACAGCAGGCTTCTTCTTCTTAAGTTTCTTGACTGGAGTTGGCTTCTTCTTGGTTTTCCCATTCCCCGAAGATTGGCCGGAGTGACGATCAGCCTTAGACTTGACAGAGCTGGCTGTAGAGTTTCTTTTGGATGTGCTATTTGAGCGTCTTTTTCTGGATCTATTTTTTTGTGGTGCCATTGACCTCGGCCTCCGTGGCAAGTTTGCGTTTAGTCGTTTGCATGCTCACAATGGCAGTGTCCTTGACTGCCATGTACTGTAGCTGCAAGTCTAGGCTGAGGTCCTCTGACCCCAGCTCGGCTCCGGCCAAAAGGTTTTTCGACGCAGGATGCGGCTTCTCGGTAGCCTCGTAACGCACACTTATGTGGTCGATCAGCAGCTCACCTCGCAGCTTCTTGGCGTCCTGCCAATGGGCCAGATTCTCAAAGAGACCCCACAATGCGGTCTCGATCTTGGCCCAGCGGTAAGCGTTCATCCAGTGGTGGTCATTCGTGGCTTCCCGCTTAAAAAAAGTCACAAGTTTCGGCAGCACTTTGACGCTGCAGGCGACGCGGTGTCCCTTGTAAGTATACATTTGCGCCAATAATTGGCAATTGCCAGTTGCAGAAAAAGCATCATTTAAATTTTAAGCAAAAATAAGCTCATAATTAAAAACAAATTGAAGTGAAAGTGCATCTGAAAAGGACCAAAATAGTTGCATAAAATTCCGCTAAATTCCAAGGACTCTCCGGGCCAATAGGCATGATGATGGCTGGTGAAGGGAGCATAAGCAGTCCTAAAGAGATCTGCGGTTGGCTGTCCTGTCCGCCCCATAGCCAGCCAGTAGTACACAGAAAAAACGACAAGCCATAATCCTGCAATATATTTTTTGAAAAAATAGAAAAAAATCAAGCCAAACTACTGCTCTTTAAAGTGAGTAAATTTCGTAATATTGCCAATTTTATTTATGATAATAATGAGCTTGACCTAAAATATTAATTCAAAACTCTATAACACATGTAACTTTGCATATTTTTCCACTGTGTATGGGTCGTAGTTGCGTCTTGTCAAATGCACTTTTGAAATGCGCTGCCCTCCTCCACCACAGGGCGGCGACAGTCCGCGACCACTCGCCGACCGTCGTCACTCGGAGTAGGGTTCCCCTCTGGCACTCCGGCTTGGGGGATGCGTCCGCTTTCGTGTCCATGTCCGCCTCCTGTCCGCCCCAGCGGATCTCTGTCCCGGACACCAAGGACATTTCGGGGGTGCCCGCCACTTGAGTCGAAATTTATGCGTTTAATAATGCATTGGATAGACGTCGGTGGTCGGAGGTTGGAGGTTGAAGGTTGGAGGACCCAGGACCAAGGAGTGGCGCTATGATGTGATGGGTCCCGCGTTGGCAACGCTTACCTCAAAGGCCACATCATCATCATCGTCATAGTCGTCGGGGGCCCGTTATTATGTGCCAACGGGGTCCTCAACGTGATGTCGTCGACCAGGAGTAGAAGCTAGAAACGGAAGCGGGAAGCGGGAACGGGATCAGGAGCAAGACAAAGGCCAAAGCCAAAGCCAAGGCAAAGTTAAAGGCGACGATATCAGCATATGTTACGAGTCTGTGCGTGTGCATGTGCGTGTTGTATGCGTCCCCGAGTGTGTGTGTGTGTGTCCTGTGTCCTGGCATGTTCCTGCCGCTCCTGCCGTGCATTGTTCGATTAATGACTTAACGACGTGAGTTGAATAACTTTGATTTAGTGTCATCTCATTTTGCGTGCCACACAGAGCACATGGGCCGGAGGAGGAGGAGGAGGAGGAGGAGGAGGAGGAGGAGGAGGACCTCCAGAGGACCTGCTCTC